AGAGAGAGAGAGAGAGAGAGAGAGAGAGAGAGAGAGAGAGAGAGAGATGCTTGTTAAACCCTCTGGAGTCTATGTATCCTAAATATACTGAGCATGTGTTATTTACAGTAGCAACTTTATTTATATATCATGTAGAGTAAAGCTGTTGAAAGGGCTGATGTGGGGGCTTTCACACGGTACGCCATTTATGTTTCCAGACCATTTTAAAACTAAATTATTTTACTAAATTATCAATTTTATTTAGTGATTTACAATGACAGACTTTCAATGAAAACTGTTAAAATCCCTTTACAAACGACTGGCTTTGGGAGGCTTATGAATGAATACATGTCTTTAAGTCCTTAAAGTTGTGATTCTCATGTCTTATCTCGGCTCATATTTTTCCACCATCTTGTCTCCACAGAGCAAGTATGACTTCACTTCCTGTCGGGGCGTGCTGTTTGTTTGCCTGATCGTGCTGCTGCTCTTCTCCGTCCTCTGCATCTTCATCCGCCACAGGATCCTGCACATCGTCTATGCCTCACTGGGGGCTCTGCTCTTCACCTGCGTACGTTTCATACTCTCATTGTGTTCTTATAAAATGACATCAAACTGTTGCTTGTATTTAGTTCTTGCCGCTATTTTGAAAAGTTGTTATTCAGCACAACAGTTACAATCACTTGGATGTCATTACTTGAGCAAGGGCTGTTCAATTCATCAAAGGTAGATTCTCCAGTTGTGTAATTTGATATTTGTGAGGTAATAGTGTCAGGCGGTCTGGATACAGATACGATTTCCCACCTTCCAGTGAACTTTATTCTACTCAATAAGGTATAATTATATCTGCAGAATGTTTAAGAGCACAAACTGGTTATGAAAAAGATGTCTGCTTAGCAAGAGGAAAGTGGGACACTGACTTTGTAATCAGGATCTGAATATATCACCAAAACAGTTGTTAAAACAGTAGGAATATTTCATTATACAGAGGATAAAATATGTGTTTTGGGCCGACAGAGGAGGTAGACAACTCTATGCAGAGTAGAATTCAATCAGACAATTTGATGTGTAAAGAGCAACTCTTGAAGCCTAGCAGAATAATTGATATTGATCCATATGGTGTTACCAACACGATCCTGTGTGACACCCATGTGGTCTCAAAGCCTGTATGGACATTTAGCATTGGTGTGAGTAACCTGTGAACCTGTGAGATGATGAAATACGATCCAGTAAATCAATAGATCCACGAGACTGAAGGGTAATCAGGCGCCAAAGTAGGTTTATAATATTGCGAGGAAGGATTTTATTGCTCTGGGTGTTGGCCACTTATCTTTTGTTGCGCAGATCGCACGGTTAACATTAGAAACACAAGATTCACTTAAAGTAATCTATACAAACATGTATTCTAAACATCTTCGATTAACCAAATGTACATCATGTACACAGTATCTGAACGTGTGCTTAGAGGCATTTGTGACGTGTCTGTGCTGACTGTATATTCTGGTCTTTTAGTTTATGACAGTATTTGGATATATTTGATACATCTGAAACAATAGCTGATTAAAATAAATTAGTGTGTCTTCCATTTTAGATCCCGAGTGTAGTAAATCTCTTGAAATGACTAATTCTCTCCTTGTCTCCTCTCTGCAGTTTTTGGCTGTGGACACTCAGCTTCTGCTGGGCAACAAGAAGCTGGCTCTGAGTCCAGAGGAGTACATTTTTGCTGCCCTCAACCTCTACACCGACATCATCAACATTTTCCTCTACATCCTGGCTATTGTTGGACGCTCCCGTGAATGAGACGGAGAATTCCTCCCTTTACTGTGAAATGTTGCTAACATGCTCTCTAACTCCTTTTAACTTTTCCCCACGGTCCTCTCCATTGCCTCTCCGATCACACATACAACAGGCAGTTGTGCTGTGGAACAGCTGCAGCCTGTCATAAAATCCAACCGAGAGGGACACTATTTATTTAACACAGGTCTCGTCTTTTCCTCGATTTGACCACTTACTGTAACTGTGCTTCTACTAACACAGATGGCTACATTATGGCTGCGTTACCTTCCCCCCCCCCCCCCAACTTCCAGTTTACATACGTTGTAAAACAATGTTATCCTGTGAATGCGTGGCACTCAGCTTTGCCTTGCTGCAGAGATTAAAGAGAAAAAGGGCGGGGAAGGTATCCAAAGCGCCTAATATTGATGCAAACCAGCTTTGCCTGAAAAGATCTTAGTGCTAGAAAATACCCTCCTCTATCAGTCTGTTTTCTCCTTTTGAGCCTGCTGGTGTAAAGTAAATCTGCATGGCAACATTGGAAACACAACTAAAGATGTGTTATGGTTCTTTAGAGCTACCGGATGAATACCTCTCTCTAGCCTGTCACAGCTGTAAATAGTTAAGTGTATAACTGTGTACGATCCCCCCCCCCCCCCCCCCCGAGTGTGTTGCTTTTTGGGAGAATATGCGCTGATATTAGGACACGTACCCGATACAGTAATTGAAATCTCTTAATGGCAAAAGAATGAAAATCAATGTTGGATGTGGCAAACATGAACATAAATTATATATTCTTACGGAATGTCTTTTCATGTTTTGAAATTATTTCTATGATTTCGAACTGAGATGTCTCCTTACTTTTACTTTTTTCTTTACAGTCCTCACTAATTTGCTCTCATCTGGTCATTAACGTGAAGTGAAAATTTAGTGGTGTATATGTTTTTGTTTTTTCTCATCTTAAACAATGTGAACTAAAGTTGAAGAATTGTGATTTCTGCCCACTTTCCATACCAAGCTGAATTTCAGAAATTTCAGAACTTAAAGTAGATGGATGACGGACTTATAACTTATCTATTTATTGAGCTTGATGTAGATAACAGAGTTGCTTTGAGGTTGCTGTTAAGATGGTGTTGAAGACACCTGCTTCTGCTGTTGTTTGGAAATGTACAAGGACTTTGCTACTTGAAGTGATTATGAAACCATCATATTCTGGTTATACTCACAAGGAATCATCATGCACTGGAAGCCAAAATGCTCACTGCACGTAAACACACACACAACTTGAGGGATATATTTAACATGAACATTTTTTTTATTTTGTAACTTTCGTTTTGATTTTTCACCTCTTGCATGGCCCTCTCCTCTCATTTGCATGTGCTGATAATGCACACTATACAGGTATTCCTGTTTTGGAAAGACATGGTGTTGTTTGGCGGCCCTGTTACACTTTTTTTTTTAACTCTTGTGTTTGTATCTAACTGATGTGTAAGTGTACATAGAACTCCTTAGTGGTTTGATGTGTATAGGTAAAGTAATATTGGGGCTTTGTAGGTCTGTTTGCATTGTATATTTGCATTAAATCAAAGTGGATCCACAGTCCTCTACACTGCCATTTGCTTTTCATTAAAACTGATACAATGGAAGTGTGTGTGTGTGTGTGTGTGTGTGTGTGTGTGTGTGTGTGTGTGTGTG